ACCCGAAATTTCTATTCTGTACAACCATTCACTTCAATAGAAGTCAGAACAGTTTCTGCTAACTTTCAAGCTTTCTGAGTAAGTTTGAGTGTTTAGAGTTAGTACTTCAGGAGATAACAGGAGAGAGGATGCCCTAGGGTTTATTGTGCAACAATAATGTCCCAAAACTCCAAGAGTTTGGAGTTTACGGCCTAAACAAAGGTGTTTACGGCCGTAAACCCTAAAAGGGGGTATAAATATGACACTTAGTCATTATTTACCACTTTTTCACATTTTCAAGATCCAAACTCAAATCCTCTCAAGTATCATCCAACTTTCTTCTTGATCTTCAACTTTGTAAGTGTTTCTATCCCTAAAAAGTTGATATCTTACTTAATCTAGTGATCTTACATGATTCCATCCTTGAAATCATTCCAAAGTGTAGATCTTCAAGTTTCACCAAGAACACCAAGAACACACCTAGTGTTCTTGGACTTTAGCACCTTTTCAAGCTTCTACCTAGTAAGTACTCTTACCCTAGTGTATTATAAGACTTGTTACACTTCTAATCATCAAGAAAACACCCAAGAAACACAAGATCAAAGGTGTTTACGGTCCAAGATGTTCTTGGACCGTAAACCCTAATAAAGGGGCCAAAATGTGCCCTAGTCCCTACCAAGCCTTGGATACTAGTCTAGATCCTATCCTTAAAGTGCTTAGGACTTGAAACATCAAAAAGACCATAAACCATTTGGGTTTACGGCCGTAAACCCAAGAGAAAGTGGTCCAAGGACCGTAAACTCCACAAAGGAGTGAAATGGTGCCCTAATCACTTCCAAGGCTTAGATATGAAGTAGGAATGCTTCTTATGACCTTTAGGCTTCAAAACACAACATGGTAAAAGTACCATGAGTTTACGGCGTAAACTCATGGGTTTACGACCGTAAACAAAGAGTTGGTCACAAAACCGTAAACTCAAAGGAGTTTACCCTTGAACCCTAAACTCATTACAAGGTCCTACCACCTTAGATGCAATCCTTAGGACTTATAGCACTTAAATCAAGTGTTTTACATGTCTTAGGATGTCTTAAATTTGGTTAATTAGTTGTTTTATGACTAATTGGATACATATATGTGTTATTATATGTTAACTAGGATCATTGTGTGTGTAAGTCTTCACTTGACTTAGCATCCTACATCATCCGTTCATCCAAACCACTCACTACAGGTGAGTTCATACCCCTTAATCAATCCTTTTAAATGATTTTAAATGCTTTCATGGGGGGGGGATACAAGTAGAAAACAGGAAGTTATAGAATCAATCACATGTGATTTATAACTGTGTTTTCAACCAACTGATTTCACATACTTCTTCAAAATGTGTTAAATACAATGTTTTCAGTTATTTTCTTTGTTATCAAATGAACTACTTTTGAATCGTTTTATAAACTGACATCAAGTCATTATTACTTATTGTTCAAAACTCTTAAATGTATTACAAAACCTCTTTCAACTTATTGTTAAAAACCATATCTATACACTTATGTTTCATACAATATGTATTGATATGAGAGCTTTCATTCTTTCTTCAGTTCCAACACTCTTGTGGCAAGGGTGTATAAACCTACTTGGACATTCAATCTACATTCCAGTAAACTATTATAGGTATAGTTTAGGGGATACAAAATATTATTCCTATTACAAGGAATTACACAAGAGTCAGTTCATTCATGAGTCTATACAAATATACTAAATACTATATGAAGAGATACTATTACTTGTTATACAGAGAGAAATACTATATACTATACAGAGAGAGATACTATATATACTATACGGGACTGACCATCCTACACCTGGCTGCTAGCTACAGCGGGACCTGTTCATCGACGGATGTTCTCGGTTGTACTGTTCGGCGAGTTTCCACGCCGTGATTATCCTAAGGCAAAGGATGCGATTTCAATGATTATATAATTTTCCCTATTACTTTTATTTTGTGACACATTCACATAAACGATGAGGTAGACTATATATTTTATAATAATAGTTGCACATGGGAAAAACCTTCATTGATACAGAAATGCAAACCTTCAAAGCATTCGGGTCTTGGTAGAAGACTACTTTTTTTACTAGTAGAAATATGGGATTTTCTAGGGTTTTCACACTTATACTAAATGTTTCACTTAACATTTACAAGTCTTTCATAACAGCTTTTCAAATCAATGACACTAAAATACTTATGAATTCACCAGCTTTATGCTGATCTACGCTTTCAAAATAACTTGTATTCTCAGGTCACCAGTAGACAGGTACGATGACCAGGTTTTGAGAAGACGGAGCACAGACAAGACTCGTCTTTTATTTGATTACATTTTTGGTGTCTTATTACTATGAAAGAACACTCATGTATTAAAACTTTACTTTTAATGCAATGGATGATGTTGTTGCTTGTTTACTACTTTGCACTGTTATGATACTTTACATGACGTCCTCCACCCCTGAACGTTTCCGCCGTTCTTGGTTTTGGGGTGTGACAGATTGGTATCAGAGCATTGTTTATAGTGAATTGAGTATATCAACCCATAAAAGATATACAGACTATAAATACAATGGGATTAAAATACTCTGACCAAGAGTTTATACTTTTAAATAATAAAATATTTAACTAAGTATACATGCCTGCATTCATACTAAAAATCAGTGTCACAATGACAAAAACAAAAGTATTACGATTGTTGAATATCACAGGTAAGCTCGGGGATGTATGGTCAGTCCTGGGAGTGGCATAGCCTGATCAACTATGCTGGTCCGAGGAGTGATTAGCATATGCCTAAGAATGGTTGTGATATGGCAACAAGTCTAAAAACTTACCAACACTACCACAATGAAATACTATGGGGTTATTTGGTATTACTATTATTACTTACCTGAGAACTAAAGGTCTTTATCAATATGTCAATAGTTGCTAAGTGGATACACCAACATTATATGTACCTAGGACGTCATAGACTTAGAATCTGTGATCTTTGCTTTACTTCTTGTTCCTTGTTTGGTTGTGGGCTTAGAGTTAGGGTCACTTATTCGAAGGTCTATCTTGTCCTGAGTACATATAACTGGTATGCACTAAACAAGTATTGGAGTAACTGATAAAGATCATCTTATAATTATCTAATTAGTACGTCTATTTAGTTATTTCTTATATCCCTTTTCTCGCGTAGATATTATGGCTGGATTCTATCCCCACGGCGACCCGTACTTTCCAAACGAAGGCAATACTGGATGGCTAGAGGAAGAACCAGAAGATGATCACCCAATCCCTTTGGATGATCACCATGCTGAAGGCTTTTCTGATAGTTCTGACTCAGCCTGAAGTCAACAACCTACCCCAAGTGGGCAGGCCCCGAATCTCACCCCCAACCGCGTTTCAAGGTCCCACACCCTTGTGGGCAACAAACTTGAATCGCTGGAGCGACGAACAGGGTCAACCCTTACCCTACTATGGGGACCGAAGCTTCTATGACCTTAGAGGAGGTGGCTCTGCGGATCAGCTCCCCTGTTATGATCCGTAGGATTGCTCGAAAGTCGAGCAAGGTCGAGCAGCCATCGACCGAGTCATGGAAATTGATGCCAACTCGGGCGTTAACACGTCCGCATTCGCATCTGGAAGACGCTCTCAAAGGGACGAGAGAACACAATGAGACTCTGCGGAAACAGTTAGCTGCATCTCAGACCGAAGTCATAGAATTTCGAGTTCGTCAGAGGGCTCACGAGCGACATCTCCAAGAGGTGGTACGTCAACTGGCGGATATGAGGATTCTCCCCAGGAATTCCCATCGCCGGTAGAAGATGTCTAGTACATCTTTTCTTTTGATATAAGGAATAGCCTTTCCTAACTGAGCTCTAAGTAGCACTTTTCTGTAAAATATTCCTGTCTCTCAAGTACTTTCTTAGATTTCTAAACTGTCAACATTTTCCTTATGGTATGATGTAAGACCTATAGTTAGGTCATTTTCCCGAACTCATTTACATCTTATATACCAGTAATTTCGGCAGTTATCTAATCTATTTAGAAATTCATACTCTCATTTGATATCGAACTATGGTGACTTAGTTCACAAGACACTTTCATTCTTTATACTATTGGATTCTTATCATTGTTTCTATCTTTTAAACTTGAAGTTAAAAGATGCTTCCTCGCAGAAATCCAAGGCGTAACAATAATAACGAAACACCGATACCACCACCTCCACCACCTCCTCAGTTCGACGCTGCTATGTTCCAAGCAGCTGTCACGGCGACCGTAGCGGCTGCCATGTCACACATCAATACTCCTGTCCCTAGTGGATCGGGAACAGGTGCACCTCCTTCCAACCATGGCGAGAGTCATGGGCACCCCCGGGAATGCACCTACAAGGATTTTACAAATGCCAAACCCAAAAATTTCAATGGAACTGGAGGGGTTATGATATTAAGGCAGTGGATAGAAAAGACAGAAGCAGTCTTTGAAATCTGCGCCTGCCTAGAGAACAATAAGGTCAAGTTTGCTACTTGTACCTTTTCTGACAGGGCTTTAACTTGGTGGAATGGCCACGTTAAGTCACTGACTCTGATAGTGGCAAATTCGATAAGCTGGGAGAACTTGAAAGCCATGCTGATGAGAGAGTACTGTCCACGAGGGGAAATTCAAAAACACGAGCAGGAACTCTGGGGTCTTGTAATGGTTGGTTCTGACATATCAACCTATACTAATAGATTCTGTGATCTGGCAATTCTTTGCCCTGATATGGTTACTCTAGAGAGCAAGAAAATAGAGAGATATATTTGGGGACTGTCGCCCCAGATCCAGTCAAGTGTGTTAGCATCAAGGCCTGTTACTTTTGACAGCGCTAAAGAGCTGGAACAATCTCTTATAGATCACGGAAACTACCAGAACCCAACAATTTCTACACCCGAGCAACAAAAGGGAAACAACAACAACAACAAGAAAAAGGGGTGGGGACAAGAGGAAAAGCGGGACTTCACAAGAATCCTCAAAGAGACAACAACTAGTTACAATCAATGTTGCCACAGTAACTCCTGTTGTCCCTGCTAATCCCTTACCAGCGAAGCCTTATGCCAGTAATCTTCCGAAGTGCAACAAATGCACCTTCCATCACAACGGACCTTGCCGGGAAATGCAGTGCACTAACTGCAACAGAAGGGGGCATACTGTCCGTTTCTGCAAGACTCTAGCAAGGCCGAGCGCTCAAGTTCCTAACACCGGTGTGGGCCAAGCTTGCTACGGTTGTGGCGAAGTGGGCCACTATAAGAGGAACTGCCCTAAGGCAGGGATAGCTGGCGGAGTAGGAAGAGTTCTGGCCATAGGCCACGAGGAAGCGGTTGATGACCCCATAGTGGTCACTTGTACGTTTCTCCTCGATAACTCTTATGCATGCATACTTTTCGACAGTGGAGCGGAGAAAAGCTTCGTAAACCAGAAATTTGCACACTTGCTTAAACAAAAACCACGTGCACTAGATGAATCATTCACTGTAGGAATGGCAAACGGGAAAACGGAAAGTACTAACTGCATATACGTAGGTTGTACTCTAACTTTAGATGGTCATACTTTCAAAATAGACCTCATGCCGGTCCCAATTAAAAGTTTCGACGTCATAATCGGCATGGATTGGTTAAGTTATCATCGCGCCGACATCATGTGCTTTGAGAAAGCAGTTCGTCTTAACCTCCCTAACAGCGAAACCCTAGTTATCTACGGCGACAAACCTAGTACGAACCTTCGCATCATTTCGTGTATCCAAGCTCAAAAGTGCTTGCGAAAGGAATATCATGCATTCCTCACACACATCGTCGATACGAGTCAAGAAGTGAAAGACATTCAGAACATCTCAGAAGTACGCGACTTTCCCGACATCTTTCCAGAAGAACTACCGGGATTACCACCTCAACGCCAAGTCGAGTTCAAAATCGACTTAGTGCCAGGGGCTACTCCAGTAGCCAAATCTCCATATCGTCTGGCACCGGCGGAGATGCAGGAACTTTCCAGTAAGCTTAACGAACTTCTCAAGAAGGGATTCATTAGGCCAAGCTTCTCACCATGGGGAGCACCCGTCTTGTTCGTCAAGAAGAAAGACGGATCGTTTCGTATGTGCATCGACTACAGGGAACTCAACAAGCTTACCATTAAGAATCGTTATCCCTTACCCCGCATTGACGATTTATTTGATCAACTTCAAGGAGCCAACTACTTCTCGAAGATAGATCTACGATCCGGGTACCACCAACTACGAGTGTTAGAGGAGGATGTTCCCAAGACAGCCTTCCGAACTCGTTATGGACACTACGAGTTTGTAGTGATGCCGTTCGGATTAACAAACGCGCCCGCAGTATTCATGGATTTAATGAATAGGGTGTGTCGTCCTTACTTGGATCAGTTCGTCATTGTCTTCATCGATGACATACTCATCTACTCTCGAAGTAAGGAGGAACATAGTCAACACCTACGAAGAGTCTTAGAAACATTACGATCGGAGAAGCTCTATGCGAAGTTCTCTAAGTGCGAATTTTGGATTCGAAGAGTCAAATTCTTGGGCCACGTAGTTAGTGAAGAGGGAATTCACGTGGACCCCTCCAAAATCAAGGCCATTGAGAACTGGTCAGCACCGAAGACACCTACAAAAAATTCGTCAATTTCTAGGTCTCGCTGGCTACTATCGCAGGTTTATTCAGAACTTCTCCCGAATTGCGAAACCTCTTACAACACTGACCCAGAAGGGCGTGGCCTTTGACTGGGAAGAAAAGCAGGAGAGAGCGTTCCAAACGCTCAAGCGAGCCTTGTGCACCGCACCAATACTATCCCTCCCCGAAGGGATAGAAGACTTCGTTGTCTATTGTGATGCTTCAAATCAAGGGCTCGGCTGTGTTTTGATGCAACGAGGTAAGGTCATCGCATATGCCTTGAGACAGCTGAAGACACACGAGGTTAACTACACCACCCACGATCTTGAACTAGGAGCAGTTGTGTTTGCTCTGAAGATCTGTAGACACTAACTGTATGGTACAAAAAGTACTATCTTTACAGACCACAAAAGCCTACAACATATATTCGACCAGAAGGAGCTCAACATGAGACAACGACGGTGGGTCGAGCTACTCAGTGATTACGAATGTGAAATTCGTTATCATCCGGGTAAAGCCAACGTAGTAGCCGACACCCTAAGTCGGAAAGAATACTCTGGTTGTAGAGTCAAATAATTGACTATGACTATCCATTCACACTTGTCCACGCAAATTAAGGAGGCTCAGCTCGACTCTTTGAAACCTGAAAATGTGGCGAGTGAAACCCTAAGAGGGATGGATAAGAATTTGGAAGTCAAGGGTGGCGGAGCCTTATACCTCATGGATCGGATCTGGACACCGAAACACGGTGGCTTCAGAGACTTGGTCATGACCGAGGCACACAACACTCGTTATTCCGTCCACCCAGGTTCAGATAAGATGTATCTGGATCTTAAAAAGCTATACTGGTGGCCTAACATGAAATCAGAGATTGCTACCTTCGTAAGTAAATGCCTTACTTGCGCCAAGGTCAAGGTCGAATACCAGAAACCCTCCGGTCTTCTACAACAACCAGAGATACCGGAATGGAAGTGGGAGCGGATCACTATGGACTTCATAACCAAGTTGCCCAAGACAACGGGTGGACTTGAAACCATATGGGTCATCGTCGACAGATTGACCAAGTCCGCACACTTCCTGCCTATCAAAGAAACAGACAAGATGGAGAAGCTTACAAGAACCTACATTCGGGAGATTGTACGACTGCACGGTGTTCCCATATCCATTATCTCGGACAGAGATAGTAGATTCACTTCGAGGTTCTGGCAGTCGCTACAAAGTTCCCTAGGAACTAGGCTGGACATGAGTACAGCCTACCATCCACAGACCGACGGACAAAGTGAGAGAACTATCCAAACCTTGGAAGATATGTTGCGAGCCTGTGTGATCGACTTTGGGAAGGCATGGGATACTCATTTACCCCTTGTCGAATTTTCCTACAACAACAGTTATCACACGAGCATAAAGGCTGCTCCATTCGAGGCCCTCTATGGCCGAAAGTGCAGATCCCCTCTGTGCTGGGCTGAGGTGGGTGATACCCAGTTAGCTAAAGGACGAGTTCCTGAAAGCACTCTCACGGGTCCGGAGATCATTCAGGAAACGACAGAGAAGATCGTTCAGATTCGTGAACGATTGAAAGCCTCTAGAGACCGACAGAAAAGCTACGCTGATAAACGAAGGAAACCGTTGGAATTCCAGGTGGGAGACCGTGTTCTATTGAAGGTCTCACCCTGGAAGGGCTTGATACGCTTTGGAAAGCGTGGAAAGCTAAATCCAAGATACATAGGGCCTTTCGAGATTCTCGCTAGAATCGGTCCTGTAGCTTACAAACTTAACTTACCACGCGAACTCAGTAACATACATTCTACTTTCCACGTCTCGAACTTGAAAAAGTGTCTGTCCGACGAGACTCTTGTAATCCCACTCGACGAGATCGAGATCAACGAGAGCCTCAACTTCGTGGAAGAACCAGTAGAGATCATGGACCGGGAGGTCAAGCAAACGAAACAAAGCCGTATCCCGATAGTGAAGGTTCGTTGGAACGCCAAGCGAGGACCTGAATTCACTTGGGAGCGAGAGGATCAGATGAAACTGAAATATCCTCGTCTTTTTACTTAGTTATTTGTAACTACTTATTTGCTTAAACTCTAATTTCGGGACGAAATTCCTTCTAACAGGGGGATGATGTGACAACCCGAAATTTCTATTCTGTACAACCATTCACTTCAATAGAAGTCAGAACAGTTTCTGCTAACTTTCAAGCTTTCTGGAGTAAGTTTGAGTGTTTAGAAGTTAGTACTTCAGGAGATAACAGGAGAGAGGATGCCCTAGGGTTTATTGTGCAACAATAATGTCCCAAAACTCCAAGAGTTTGGAGTTTACGGCCTAAACAAAGGTGTTTACGGCCGTAAACCCTAAAAGGGGGTATAAATATGACACTTAGTCATTATTTACCACTTTTTCACATTTTCAAGATCCAAACTCAAATCCTCTCAAGTATCATCCAACTTTTCTTCTTGATCTTCAACTTTGTAAGTGTTTCTATCCCTAAAAAGTTGATATCTTACTTAATCTAGTGATCTTACATGATTCCATCCGTGAAATCATTCCAAAAGTGTAGATCTTCAAGTTTCACCAAGAACACCAAGAACACACACTAGTGTTCTTGGACTTTTAGCACCTTTTCAAGCTTCTACCTAGTAAGTACTATTACCCTAGTGTATTATAAGACTTGTTACACTTCTAATCATCAATAAAACACCCAAGAAACACAAGATCAAAGGTGTTTACGGTCCAAGATGTTCTTGGACCGTAAACCCTAATAAAGGGGCCAAAATGTGCCCTAGTCCCTTATCAAGCCTTGGATACTAGTCTAGATCGTATCCTTAAAGTGGTTAGGACTCGAAACATCAAAAAGACCATAAACCATTTGGGTTTACGGCCGTAAACCCAAGGAGAAGTGGTCCAAGGACCGTAAACTCCACAAAGGAGTGAAATGGTGCCCTAATCACTTCCAAAGGCTTAGATATGAAGTAGGAATGCTTCTTATGACCTTTTAGGATTCAAATATCAACATGGTAAAAGTATCATGAGTTTACGGCCGTAAACTCATGGGTTTACGACCGTAAACTCAATAAGAGTTGGTCACAAAACCGTAAACTCCAAAGGAGTTTACCCTTGAACCCTAAACTCAATTACAAGGTCCTACCACCCTTAGATGCAATCCTTAGGACTTATAGCACTTAAATCAAGTGTTTTACATGTCTTAGGATGTCTTAAATTTGGTTAATTAGTTGTTTTATGACTAATTGGATACATATATGTGTTATTATATGTTAACTAGGATCATTGTGTGTGTACAAGTCTTCACTTGACACTTAGCATCCTACATCATCCGTTCATCCAAACCACTCACTACAGGTGAGTTCATAAACCCTTAATCAATCCTTTTAAATGATTTTAAATGCTTTCATGGGGGGGGGGGAATACAAGTAGAAAACATGAAGTTATAGAATCAATCATATGTGATTTATAATTGTGTTTTCAACCAACTGATTTCACATACTTCAAAATGTGTTAAATACAATGGTTTTCAGTTATTTTATTCTTTGTTATCAAATGAACTACTTTTGAATCGTTTTATAAACTGACATCAAGTCATTATTACTTATTGTTCAAAACTCTTAAATGTATTACAAAACCTCTTTCAACTTATTGTTAAAAACCATATCTATACACTTATGTTTCATACATATATGTATTGATATGAGAGCTTTCATTCTTTCTTCAGTTCCAACACTCTTGTGTAGCAAGGGTGTATAAACCTACTTGGACATTTAATCTACATTCCAGTAAACTATTATAGGTATAGTTTAGGAGATACAAAATATTATTTCTAGTACAAGGAATTACACAAGAGTCAGTTCATTCATGAGTCTATACAAATATACTAAATACTATATGAAGAGATACTATTACTTGTTATACAGAGAGAAATACTATATACTATACAGAGAGATACTATATATACTATACGGGACTGATCATCCTACACCTGGCTGCTAGCTACAGCGAGACCTGTTCATCGACGGATGTTCTCGGTTGTACTGTTCGGCGAGTTTCCACGCCGTGATTATCCTAAGGCAAAAGGATACGATTTCAATGATTATATAATTTTCCCTATTACTTTTATTTTGTGACACATTCACATAAACGATGAGGTAGACTATATATTTATAATAATAGTTGCACATGGGAAAAACCTTCATTGATACAGAAATGCAAACCTTCAAAGCATTCGGGTCTTGGTAGAAGACTACTTTTTTTTTTACTAGTAGGAAATATGGGATTTTCTAGGGTTTTCACACTTATACTAAATGTTTCATTAAACATTTACAAGTCTTTCATAACAGCTTTTCAAATCAATGACACTAAAATACTTATGAATTCACCAGCTTTATGCTGATCTACGCTTTCAAAATAACTTGTATTCTCAGGTCATCAGTAGACAGGTACAATGACCAGGTTTTGAGAAGACGGAGCACAGACAAGACTCGTCTTTTATTTTGATTACATATTTTGGTGTCTTATTACTATGAAAGAACACTCATGTATTAAAACTTTACTTTTAATGCAATGGATGATGTTGTTGCTTGTTTACTACTTTGCACTGTTATGATACTTTACATGACGTCCTCCACCCCTGAACGTTTCCGCCGTTCTTGGTTTTGGGGTGTGACATCCTGAAGTACCTGAAACAATACACTGAACTGTTAGCCCGAAAGCTTAGTGAGTTACCCCCAAAATACCAACCACACATAAACATACTCATAACATATCACAAATAGAACAACCATGTACATCGAGTCTACAATGTGATTGGTCCGCCCGCACCGGGCCATCAATCCACCTGGTCCACTCTCTGAGTCTACAGTATGACTGGTCTGCCCACACTGGGCCTTCAGTTGGCCTGGTCCACTCTCTGAGCCTCGACAAGTCTGGTACGCCCTCTAGGGGCCTTCAGAATATCCGGTCCGCCCTGGGTATGTTGGCCTACAGCACAAAGCAGGACCCGCCTCAACGCAACCCCGTCAAACAACCATGTGCACATAAAACAATTAATCACATAACAAATCCTCAACCAGACAAACAGTCTAACATATCACATAACATATCAACATCCTAACTAGGATTCCGACATAACCGGTCACTAGCATAACATTACCCTATATACCGGGTACCGACCTTAACCAGGTCACTAACATAACACCATCCAAAATACCAGGATGCAGATCTAGCAAAGCAATAACATAACAACAATACCCGGATTTCCATCCGATAAAGGGCCGACCTTGGTGCCGTAGACCCTGTCGATATAGTGAGGATAACTCACCTGCAATTGCCAACTGAAAAGATAAGACCAAGCTGCTCCGACCACCGACACGATCTTCACCACAGAACACTACCAAAGAACCAATTCCATAAATACTAATATTACCAAAGTACCCTTGGAATTCAAACTGGTCAACTCTTGGTCAAAGTCAAAGTCCTCAGTCAAAGTCAACCTTCCTGGTTGACCCTACTCGCTGAGTCAACCCGTCGACTCGTCGAGTTCCCATACTCAGAAGACTCCCATAACACGACTCAACTCGCCGAGTCGCCCCAAGACTCCTCGAGTTCAACGATCTCGGAATCCCATCCTGTCCAACTCACTGAGTCGCCAACCGACTCACTAAACCAAAGCTTTAACCACAAGAGGTTGGGTTCTGCGACCAGACTCGTCGAGTCCAAGAACAGACTCGCCGAGTCCAAGGCAATCTTCAACAGACTCGCTGAGTTGTTCTTCCAACTCGCCGAGCCCATGCACATGTTCATACAACTCATGTAGTACACCCATGTGACTCGCCGAGTCTCTTCAGTTCTCAATCCATACAGAGGCTTTTCGAGCCATGCAGGGGCTCCAATCCATAGATCCACTCTTCTACAGCCTAACCCTCACATAAAGTTGCAAACTTTACGTGAAACCAAGGAGATATAAGCCCAAAACACTCTAGGGCTAGGGTTTATGACAAAGGGGCTATACCAATAACTCTTAGACAGGAGCTTTATGACATTAAGGACCATCACAAGCCTAGATCTGAAGTAGCAACCTCAGATCTAAGCTTCTAGCTTGAAATAGCTCTCAATCATACCAAAAATGCCCCAAATCTCAAATGATAATAGATCTAGATGCAAAAGAGCCCAAGAAACAAATTATTACCTCCAATATAAGCTCCAACTGAAGTAGATCCCGGATCTACACCACTCCTTTGCAGCAAACCTCTTGATCTTCAAGCTCCTTTCCAAGATCTTCTCCTCCAAAGCTCTATTCTCTCTATTAATGGAAGCTCACTCGATTCTAGGGTTTCTGGATCTCAAAAGGGTAGCAAAGAGGCTGAGGGTGGGTTATAATGTGCTTTATATAGGGCACAACCCACGGGATTAGGGTTTTCTCTCTTCAGCACCAACTCGTCGAGTCCAAGCCGCCAACTCGGTGAGTTGGCCACTTAAACCGCGATAGAATCCCGCTCCGACTCGACGAGTAAGCGGACCTACTCGTCGAGTCCCTTTCCTAAATTTACACTTTTGGCCCTTCCTTGAACAATTGAAATTCGGGGTGTTACAACTCTCCTCCACTTAAATTAGGCTTCGTCCTCGAAGTCTACTGCAGTATACGCCTCAGAACGAACCCGTTGCACTGTAGACTCCGACTTCTCAATCAACTCATGCTCTTACAAACCCTACTTCTAAATCACTCTTAAAATGGCTTATTCTCACGTGGCATCCTTGCCACTACTCCAAGCCGATCATCAGCCTTTCAACTCAATAGCACCACGAATTAACCACGAATCACCCGATAATACTAACCCTTCATATCAGGGACACGCTTCCGCGCCCTGCAACGCTAGATTCCACAAACACCCACTGAGCTCTGCTAAGAAACTAATCCATCTTCCTTCGCCCAAAATTGGCGATAACCCTGATAACTTGCAACCTGGTGATGGAATACCCCAGATTGGGATACCTTCACATACATAACTCAAGCCTACAACCATACTCGGAACTAAGGACCTTGTCCT